ACTCTAATAATGGAAAGTACTTTAGATCAATTATTTAAAGTGGACCTATCATGCTATATTTGAATAATATAGTGTAGGACCATACCTATATAAGGCATAATTATACTTTTTATTTTTCAAAATACCAAACAGATCATGCATTTTAGCCATTCCTCATTTCGCTCAATTTAACACTGTCTTTGCATGGGCTGATTCTGTGAGAACAGCACCATCTACAGGCCTGGCATATGTACTACAGTGTCTCCAGCGCTTTCCAACGGCAATGTCCGTGGCTGTCTCCTCCTGATTGGTGGAGTTGGCCCAATAGCCGTAGCGCCACTTCTGTGACGTCATAGAAGTGTTCAAATCTGGATCAGTCTGTATCAGATCCGTTGCAGCCCCTTTTTAAGAGATTTGGGTATGGAGGAAAATAGAGAGGGTTGTGTTTTCTGACACTTGGTGAGTTCCCTGGAACACCGTGGACACATATTCATGTAGAAAAGACGTACAAAAGTGCATTTGCATGATTGGTCACCTTTAACTTGAGAATACAACAGCAGTACTGCAGCACTTGACCCGACTTCAGTGCACAGAGGATTCTCTCTGTGAATATATTACATAAACCAATTTATGTAATAAAGCCAATTACTGTATATATTAACACTTGCATTATGGGAGAATACTGCATTAACCAGCGTTCAATAATACCCACAAAGACACATTAAAAGTGTGAATCCAAAGTGATGAGAGGAGACTGCGATACTGCAAGTAAGAGCTCCTTATCTTGCTAAGTAATGAGAGAGCTTTTGTGATGTGCGTGTGTGTGTGTGTGTGTGTGTGTGTGTGTGTGTGTGTGTGTGTGTGTGTGTGTGTGTAGGCTCAAATGACACGCTGTATCTGTGAGACAGCGATGAGCTGCAGCTATGAGTCTATGTGTGTAATTATAGAAACAACTGGCTCCAATTCTCAAATCTTATCTCGACGAGGCGAGGCTGCCATCGAAGATAGGACACCTAATAACGAAAGCAGGAATGTTATGGCGGTTTGATATTATCATTGTTGGAATACTAATGGGAGGATAAAAGGAAACTGATGCAGAAATGAGAGGAGGCTTCACAATGGGAGCTTATTGTTGGGTGTCTTATGTAAGGGTATGATGTTAATGAGCTTCATAAATATTCAACTGCTGAACAAAATAATTTGTGGTCTTAATTAACAAACAGTGAAATGAAACCCTTTCATCATTTTTTATCTCAAAAGGGAATACAAAAATATATAAATAAGGCCCATAAAGAAAAAAAAGTGCTCCATCAGTGGACACACACACACACACACACACACACACACACACACACACACACACACACACACACACACACACACACACACACACACCTGCTCTGCAAACGTTGGCGAATGGATGCAGTTGAACTCTTTGAGGCTATCTCGCAGCACACGGAGCCTCATGGTGTCCTCCACCACATCCATGCTCTTCAACTGGAGGTCGTTCACAGGGTCGAGGGCCGCCATGCCGCTAGGATTGGCTTCGGCCAATCGCAGGAGCTCCTGGGTAGTCGTGGAGATGGCTTGGCCAGGAGGATCCAGCCTAATGACAACAGGTAAAAGGAAAGACATAGGTTTTGTCATATATATAATGAACAATAAAACATGACTGAGACAACAAATACAGATATACATATTACAAGGTAAAAAGGAAATCAGTCAAGCCATGCACCTGAATCGTGGCTGTTGCCTCTTGCTGTAGTTGTCGATAATCCGGTCAGGAATCACTTTGAGGGTTTTCACTGTGATGGCTGAGATGTCCTGAAGCTTTAACTTCTGCACTGTGTGACTGCAAGGGCCTGACAATAACAAAAGGGGTAAGGGACCATCACACATGCTTAAACGTCTGTTACACTCACTGGTAGGTTTGAATGAATGTATAGAAGGCATATGGGTAGAAGTAATGAGAGAAACCAGTGTCAATCTGCCTGTCAACCGACCTTCAGGTATGAAGAGAGCTGTGTTGTAGAGGTGAGGGAAAGAGTTGTTGTTTCCTTTTCCTTCCTCTTCGCCCTTCTCACAGATGACAAGAGCTGTGAATGTGCGATTCACAGAGTCATTCGACACCTGGCATGGAGAGAAGACAGGAGGAGATGTCAGGAGACGGATGGAGGAAACACTAGGAACATGTTTTTTTTTCCATGTTTGGGTTTCCACTCTGGGCTCTGATAACCTCACACTGCCTGAAGACATGCAGGCTAGGTAAACATTGAAAACTTCCTGCAGATGTTAAAGTCTTTTCTTGTGTCTCAGCCCTTACCAACGTCACATACCTGAGCCCTGGGCATACTGGGTGTTTACTAGGTCATTTATTATATTTTAGTTTTTTGTGTTGGAGACTTTGTTAAAATGTTTTTAACCCCTTGGCTTACTAAGTAAATAAGTGTTACATAATACCTATGATCAATAAAGAGACACTTTATTGTTCTTTCAAAACAAACTACAGCAATGACAACATAAAAAAGGATAGATTACCACACAAATAAAAAATCAAAGATTTTAGAGAAAACCTATCAGCAATAAACAGTCTGATTACATTTCTTAAATATTTGAGACTCGACACATCAATATTTTATGCAGATATCTTAGCATGGTTTCCCTTTCAAAGGAGATTGTTATCCTCACTGGGATATAGCTGACTGAACAAAGATTACATTTGTATTAATAAATGCTGGAAAATCGTAATTTGGAGCATCTGAAGACAGTATAACAATTACATATTTTAAATGTCCCTACCAAACAAAATCACACACACACACACACACACACACACACACACACACACACACACACACACACACACACACACACACACACACACACACACACACACCTGTAGGATAACTCCCAGAGCGTTGAGGTGCTGCTTGTTGTTCACCACCACAACTCGACCCACAGACAGAGCTTTCAGCCCGTTGACAGACTCCAGAATAGCGCGCTGAAACCAGAGACAGCAGCAAGGAACTGTTACAACTGCATATTAAAGCTGTTAGGATATGAAATCTGTTGTGTGTACGGTAAATGTGTTTACCTGCAAGGCCTCATTGGTGGTTCGTAGCTCTGTAACGGTGTGGTAGTAAGGCAACATGTCGGACAGCTGGCCTTCATTGTCCAGAGGAGGCAGAGAGGACAGCGTCTTCTTCAGCTGGCTTATCCTAATCTCACTGGTCTACAGCAGAGGAAACAGAGGAAGAAAGCATTTAGTATTTAACATGTGTTAGCAATGCACAATATATAATTGAGTTGATAAATGATTGCTCCACAATGGGATACTTATTTTATTCCAATCCACAGCCTTATTTGTCTTGACAAGCGCACACACACTCCGATACAGTTTGTAATTTAATAAACGTGTTGTGTACGTCAGGCGCATGTTACCTGAGTGTCCCTGTGGTTTTCAGAAAAGCTCCTCCTCATCATGTCGGTCACACGGAGGGCTTCGACTCGCAGCAGGTTGAGGATCATCGTGTAGGTCAGTCTGAACTGGGACTGGAGGGTGGTGGGTTTACCCTGAGCCAGACAAAGAGGATGGCGTTAATACAATAAAGGTCAGGACACTAAACTTGGATCTGTTTCCAGTCCCAGGACAAATGAATGGTCTTTTTGGGCATTTTCATGGGATTTTTTGACAAAGAAAAATACTGAATGTTACCCGGAATCTGCTTTTAGTTAAAAAAGAAATTCTAACTTTTCTCCTGCTGGTTTGCAATTGTAGGTATAATTTAAAGCTACCTAATCCCATTACTAATTAAGTCCACACGTTTGCCAATGTTAACATGCTTTGAAATGATTTGGAAAGATGGAGCACTATCTGTATTTTTGGCAAGAAGATAATAGCTCCTTTAAGAGATGCAGCACTTAAAACATTCCTCTCCGAGAGAAAGTGTGAAAAAGTAGTCTCAACTGTGTTGTTGAAGTTCCCATTAACAGCTAGCAGAGGGCTGTTCTTTGATTCCACATATTTAAAGTTTCCTGTAAAAACCGTAAGCTTTGAGGGTCATGTTGTGAATATTGTTGCCGTTGTAGCCGATAGCTCTTAATGTGCAATGTATGTGATAAGTAACACAACTTTCATATGTACTTTGGTTTCACGAGAACTTTAACATTATCTTTTAAAGACAGCCAAAGAAACAGGAGACTCTGATATTATAGTTATTTTCAATATTAACCTGCAAAAGGAGATTAAAACCATAACGATAAACCCATGTGACAGGATGGATGAAACACACAGGGCCTCACCAGCATCATGACATGCAGGTCTCCCATCTCATGAACCCCAGCTTTGCACAGGATGATGACGGTGCCCGTGGCGTCCAGACCTCTCCGTCCTGCTCTGCCCGCCATCTGGATATACTCGCCTGAAATGACAAGTTGAAAACATCAAAAAATACTGCCGTTTTCCCTCAACTCCGATTCATCCCCAGAGATCAAAGAGCATAACAAATGTTGGCTCAGATGAAAGAGCGGGAACTCAAACCTGGGAGCAGATTTCTGAAGCCGGTCCCATCGTGTTTCCTGATGCTGTCGAACACCACAGTCCTGGCAGGCATGTTCACTCCCATGGCAAACGTCTCGGTGGCAAACAGCACCTAGGAGAGGAAGGGAAGATTAAGGATTATTATTTTAAACCTTATGAGTGCCAACCTTTACTTGCAGATGATCCTTGGAGGAACAGATACATTGGTTTGCCACTAGATCACTACCTGATACTTCACATTAATAAATAAAAGGTGCTGGTATATGATACGATGATATGATAGGATTTGATTTGTAGATTTGATTTGTTTTTGATCTGTATTTTTGAAAATTATGTAACTTTTTTTTTTTTTTGCATATTGTTTATTGTTTATTATACTATAACTTAGTACTTTTTTAGCATATTGTTGTGTTGTTTGTTTATTTTATTATAACTTAGTACTTTTCTTAACGCATTTAAGATATGCAACACTAAGCTGTCTGTGGCTCTTTCTTGCTGTAACGCTGCACATTTCCCCTCTGTGGGACTAATAAAGGGATTCTGATTCTGATACCTTCTTTTCTGTACTAATTACTCTGACTCACCTTTACAAGACCTCGTGAGAAGAGCATCTCAATGACCTCCTTCAGTATCGGCAGGATCCCGCTGTGATGGACTGCTACTCCTCTCTTCAACAGATCTCTCATGAGCAAGATCTAAACATGACATTTGTGTTAAGTGTTAATACAGCATTAAGGATGTTTTCTTTTCTTTTTTATTTACTTAAAAGGACAGTTCACCCCAAAATCACAAACGACAGATTTCACTTTATCCTGTATTGCTATTTATCAATCTTGCCAAGTTGTCGAGTGTTTGAGATATCTACCGTAGACATTTCTGGCTTCTCTCCAATATATTGGACCTAGGCTGCACTTGGTTGGTGGGGCTTGAAGCGCCAAAGAGCATTCGTAAACACCCAACAGCTATGTCTCTACGACCCAAGTACAACCACAAACTGTATTACCGCCAAGAAGAAAGCATGAGTCTACTAATGTATGAGGGGCACTCCAGCTTAGAGAGATAATATAACAGCTCAGCAGAGGAAAACATCAATGTTATCATATTGGGTTGACACAAACACAGGCTTAAGGTATCATAACATTTTGAACAGAGAGGGTTAAGTCAACCGTTATTTACCTGAGGCAGCTGCCGGTCTGCTCCTCGCAGGCGACTCACACTCTTCTGGAAGAAGGAGTGGATCTCGGCCTTCTCTATGGAGGTGGTCATGTCCATGGAGTCCAGCGAGCGGGCGTTGTCATCACACCTTGTACGAGAGAAGGTGAACGCAACCACCGGCGTCTGCTGCCGCTGGGACAGGAAGTGCAGGAGAGTGAGCCACACCGAGCGGTCCTGCAGGGAAAAAACACAATGAGGGATGACAACATGAAGCAAGAGGATTGTTGGATCAGAAAATCAAGGAGGAGAAAGGATGGGAATTACCTGACTAGCCGAAGTGTTGTGGGAAGTACCTTTTGCACCAAAAGATTGGGCATGTTTGCTGGTGCGCTCCTTCTTGGCATCGATAGCTGCGTAATACCTGAACAACAAACACAACTTCGTGTATGAGAAATAGCTTACATGTACAGGTGTGAACCATTCAGTATCTCATGATCCCATTAGAACATTTGATTTTGGATTCAGTTTGCTGTTTGCTAATGAAGCTGGTGTGGCAAATTATGGCAAAATAGAGTTTTTATAATTTAGAAAAACATTTTATGAACTGAACATAAAGTCAAGGGAAAACCTAAGACAATGGGTTGGATTAACGAATGCTAAACTGGCACGATCAAGCACCTTTTACTTAAAGCTTTTCGTTTTTTCCCCCCCCCCCCCCCCTCCCATGTGAGCCCAGTGGCCGTCTGCGAGACAGCGAGACACAGCGAAACCCAGCCCGAAACACACACACACACACCCGCAGCCTGGCTGGGAGTTTGTGTGTGTGTCCAGGCTGAGTTCCGCGTGTTTCGCTGTCTCGCCGCCACCACACCAGTGAGCCAGCTCAAAGTGTCCCGCTCCTCGCAGCAGTGAGCCTTGCAACGTCCCGCCGTGTGTGTGTGTGTGTGTGTGCGTGCGTGCGTGCGTGCGTGCGTGGGTGCGTGCGTGCGTGTGCGTGCGTGCGTGCGTGCGTATGTGTGTGTGTGTGTGTGAGGAAGTCCGCTGATTACATTACGTCACTATACCCAAGAAGTAAACAATGGAAAAACAGGGTGTACTTTGAGGGTTTGTGACTCTGCAGACCGTTTACATGCAGAAAAAGCTACATAACACACAAGGGGATGGGTAATAACTGGAAAAGCATGACATGGGACCTTTAAGGGGAAAAAAATGCAAATGTTTTCTGCTATTTTTGGAAATGTGAATTGATTCAGAATCTTAAAGGATAAGAATCTTGATAGTTACATTAAACAATCCCCCCCAGACCCTTACTACTAGAATAAAAGAATATATACAGGATAACCACAGATCTGAAGATGATAGAAGTGGTACCCTTTAGTGAGGAAGTTTCCGGTAGGATCCACCAGCAGGAACATCTCTTTCTGAGTCTTGGTGCTGTTTCCAGTGTACAGATAATGCTCCAAAGGCACAGGTCTCTTCATTGTGCTGATCACATAAATATGCTTCTTTTTTATACGTCTGTGAGGAAAATGTTTAAAGTGCAATTAATATTAGCAGCTTAGCTCTTATTGTGACAAATGCTCTCTAATATTGAGTGCACCTACCCGATCCACTCGCTAAACTCCAGAGCGTTGGGCACTGTGGCGCTGAGGAGGATGATGCTGACGTGATCAGGAAGCATAATCAAAACCTCCTCCCACACAACCCCTCTCTGAGGAACAACAAAAGGAAGTGCAAAGAAGAGAAGAAAAATGTTACTCTTGACTTCAACAGTGAAAGAATACAGAATGCAGTTGGGGTTGTTGCTGACCTCGGCATCGTTGATGTAGTGAACCTCGTCAAAGATCACCCACTCCAAGTCTCTGATGACCTCTGAGCCGTTGTAAAGCATGGACCTGAAAGAGAGCCAGAGCAAGACGATTACAAGCTTTGTCCATTTTATGTGAAACTTGAATTTGATGTCTATTCCAAACAGCTTGAGTACCGGAGGATCTCAGTAGTCATGATGAGACATGAAGATTCAGGACTGATCTGGACGTCGCCCGTCAGCAGTCCAACATCTCCGAACGTTTGCTTAAAGTCTCTGAACTTCTGATTGGACAAGGCTTTGATTGGAGAGGTGTAGATGGTCCTATGAAAACACCAGACAAGAACGTAAAAAGCTTATATGTAGACAACCTTAAGGGCAACACCGTCAAGGGTTGGTTATCTTACAATTACATGTCAATGTATAATCCTGAGGTAACATGTAAATGTATTGCCAAATTCAAAACACAAGTTATCAAAACTAATCAAGTGTTATAAGAAACATTTCTTGATGAAGTAATTAAAACAGTTAATTAATAATTGCATTTTACCAGCGTAACTAATGATTTGTAACAATATTTAATAAACGTCCGCGTTTTGGAAAGGCTGAATAATTCCCTATTCCTCTGAGTTCAGAAAAACTTTGAGTTTCATAAGTCTCTTTAAAAACCTCCAATAAAAACGTTTGAGGATCCGCATTTAGCTTTGCACACTCTGTGAGGGCAGACCAAATTGATTTGTGCCAACAGATACACACCTTGTCATGTGTTTCTGTGAGAGAGCGATGGCGTATTCGGCCACCACTGTTTTGCCAGCTGACGTGTGTGCAGCTACAAACACGGAGTCGTGAGCCTCCAGCAGCAGAACAGCTTGTTTCTGGAAGACGTCCAGCTCAAACGGCCACTGGAGCAGAGAAACAGATCAGTTATCACAGGAGGAAGCTCAGGGGGGTTTCATGGGATCATTCATCACAGCAACAGAGAAACAGGACAAAAAAAGGCAGGGAACTGTGTGAAGAATGCATTCAGGAAACAGACGCTTAAGTGAAATATTTCTAGGATACCAACTGTATATGTTAAAATGTATAGTTTGATATATTTGAATATTATAATCCTTTGTTATTTGCATTATTATATCATTTATTTAAACCAGCCAAATTGACCGCAGCTGTTTTCTAATTAGGAGACGTTATAGCCGACGGCAGCTGCTGGTGATTGAAGTGAGAAGGAGAAAGAAGCACAGAGCAATATCGTTTTTTGACCTGTGAAAATATGTGTTTGTATTTTGATACCTTTTGTTTTAAGTAAAGAGTCAAACAAACTTTCCTGAGACGTATTTTGTCCGAGTCAAGCTTATTGCTACCTGTGGATCGATTTTTGGATTAGACGAAACAACACCAACCTTGAAAGCTGGGTTGGGGATGCGTTTATAGAAATCATCGCAGGGTGCACTTATGTTGACAGGGATGGCCCATTTCTTATTTTCCTCTGGGTTCTCTTTTGGCTTTGATTTGTCATCGTTCCCTTTCTCTGAGGGAGCCGAGGATGACACAACATCCTGAAGACAGAGGAGGGGAGACATAGTTAGGACCGTTTTACTGTAGGAGTGCATTACATTGTTATTGATTTTTAGTTTGCAAAATTAGCAATACTGAATCATTTTCCTACATGTAGAGACACTACCATAAATCAAATCACACATATTTCTACATAGGGTCACGATCACACATGCGCGAAATTAACATTTTCCTTCCCATTCACTTATATTTTCCTGTCTGTTCACCATGACAACAGGCACAATAAATGTTAAGCCTAGATATTCTGATAAATTAAATAAATGTAAGTAAAAAAAAAAAAAAGTGTTCACATTGATGAATGCACACAGGCTTGCCGGATATTACTCTGTTAGCATGATACGGTGGTTTATCTACAATGTTTTTTTGGACTGCTATTTTCTTTTTATTGATGACATCATGTCATGTTTGCGATCTAATAAGACAGTGAGTTGGAGACAACATGCATTTAATGACCCCTGTACAGATAAGTCATAAGTCAACCACCAGTAATCATCCACTTAGCAAACTGCAGCACCTTGACTCCCAGGTCTTCCAGGCTGTTTGTTCTGGGAAGTTTTGGAGCTTCCTCACTTCCTTTGCTTTCCTCTTTCTCCTCTGCCTCAGGCTGCAGGTCAGTTATATCCAATGTGGACAGCAGGGACATGAGGTTGACCTCTGCCTTTGCAATCTTGGCTTCTTCAGGATACAAAGAAACAAAGAAAAAAATATTAAACAATGATCTTTTAACCTTCGTAGGATTTATTTTTAGGAAAGTATAATATGATACCTTTGTCAGTGAAATCCATCCCTGCTTTAAGTCCAGGTGGAACTTTGAGTAAATCTACACGGAAAAATCAAATGACAAATGTAACCATTAGGAGCTGAAAAAAGTGTTAGCATTACCTAACAACACTGTAACTAATCATTTAAAAATTACCATTCTCAAAATCTATTTCCTCCTCCAGTTCAGATGTCTTCTTGATTTGCTCCAGAGTAAGCTCGTCCATTCCTCCTATGAAGATCACCATAGCAACAACAATATTCTTAGATAATAAATGCGAAGTGAAAACACCTCAGTCACATCTAAAGGAAGTCATTAAGAGAAAAGGATTTGAATCAATCAATCTCACCGGGGAGGAAGGGGTAATTAGTGTTGCTTCCTCGCAGGCTCTCTGCAGGAGGACCAGGTTGGCGTTGGAATGAAAGTGAGTTCTTTGCTGACAGGCTAGTGTTCTCCAGTAAGACCTACAGAAGAGTTGAAGACAGAACAGAGCCAAAAAGTAACTGAATTAACTTTGACTTTGTTCAAAGTAACACAAAGGCTGCTTCATACAACAAACATGAATCGATTCGTCAATAATGTGATCTACCTCTGTGAAGTCCAGCAGCATCCCTGTGGTTGGATCTCTGACGACAGAGACACCCGAGTGAAGAGCAGACGGAGAGCAGTGGATCAGAGAGTTGACATTCACTTCTCTCTGGGTCACCCTGGTGAAGAAAACAATACAACATCTTATTCAGATACATATGATTATTTAAAGAAAAATCCTATCAAAACCAATCGAATGAACCCTCGGTATCGTTATCTCGTCAGTATTGGTAATACTTATTAGCAACTTTTTAGATGTAATGTCTGATACCAATACATTTAAAAAATATCTTTTATAAGTATTGCAACTAAACACTTTCAAAGTATTCCACTCCTTTCATAATCAAGTTGATACTATAAGGCAACTTAAAATATTTAAGGTTAAAGATTCATGATAGGTTACTCTAAGGTTGATTCTGGGCCAGATGTGGCATACGTTACAATAATATATAGTTTTTTTAAATTGGTATGAGTATTACATTGTCTACTCTACAACATCAAAGTACTGCAACTTGCACATACTCTAAAGAACATATTGGGGTTTATTGTCAAACCGCCATTGATTATTTACAATGTCAAAGCTTACATAGCAATAATAACTAACATTTTTACAGGAAAACTTACTTGAGAAACTTCTGGAAGGCAAAGTCAGTGTCATGAATAGGAAGCCAGGCAGCGTCCCGTAAAAACTGTTTCTCTACTTCTGTCTCCAGGCTCAGGCTGGTGGGAGGAAGCCCGTGAGGGAGCTGTGGGGGGGGAGATAAGATCAGATATTCAGTGACTTAGTGACCCAGCATGTAATCATTACATCCCAGATAAAACACGTTTTGTTTTATCAGATATAGTCCACCTTCTATCTGTATGAAAATATGTCTTTTAATTAAAATATCTATTAACAAAAGAAGGTGGACTAAAATCCAATAAAAAAGAGGTCTGTTCTGTTGTCCAGTGTAGAAATAATATGTGTGGATTTAGGGTCGGATTACATAGGAGGTATTGTAATATTACAATAATAAAACAACGCTGCATTGATTTGTCTGAGACTTGTTAATTAAAAAACTGCTGATTTTTCATAAAAATATTTGTATAAAACTGAACAAGCCCTAAAAAAATTAAAGAAACAGATGTGTCTCATTTGTCCAGTGTCTATATGGTATGGGCTGGGACCACCAGGGTCACATGAATGGAAGCTATTCGTAGTTAATGTCTTTCTAATATCTAATACAATCAAAACGTCACTGTGGTTTAATGTACAGTAATCCTGCTGCACTCACCGTGCTCTGTGGAGCTAAAGGCTGGTCAGGTACAGGGTGTGTGATGAGCTCAAACCGGCCGGAGCATCCCATCTCCAGCAGGGACAGCGGCAGGTCCATGGGGCCCGCGGGGGGCACATCTGCAGAGAAACAACACAAAGAGGATGGATGGACTGAACAAACACAATGAGGCCAGGAAGATGCACCCTGTGCAAGCGAATGCTAACTTAACTCTTTAAGGCAATTGTACTTATAATGCAAAGCTACAGAGCCGCTGTTTTTGCACTCCTTACTGTGTTTTGAATGCGTATTTTTTGCTTGTGGAAATGCAATAAAGGCAGATTTCAATTCTTGTCTAACAATATTTCACAACAGAAAGAGATGCAAAAAATGGAACCATGGTCGCGACGAAATCCAACTTAACTTCCCTTTTAACTGGATAATCGAAAGCTAACTTTAGCATCGTTACAGCCTTGGTTATTATCTAAATATTAATTGTATTTATTCTGAATGGATATCGTTTTGACAGCTACCCTGTTAGCCACACCATCGCACAAGCTACACAGTGAGCGTTATTAGTAAGTTTAAACGCGTTTCAATATGAACAATAATATACAGGCTAGCATTACATTGAAAAAGCTAGACTTACTTATTCTGTCCATGTTCCCAGTCCCACTCTCAAGTGAAAGCTAAAAGTTGCCACCAACAGTTGCTGTCGCTTCGGAAGTTGCTGAAATTGACAAGCGGAAGTTGCTACTAAGCTAGCTAAACGATAGCTAAAATAAAAAATAAACTTTAAACGTATTCATAAAGCTGTCTATAATATATAATCAATTCATATATTCCAAATGGGTGTACATTTTGTGTTTGTCGATACATGTTTTTGCTTATTGTTGTTGCAAAAATTAAAAAAGATAAACGCAACCTGGATATGCTACGTCATATTTACGCGTCCGTGTTATTATTGAGGAGCCACCGTTTGAAGTTGGTGAGTGAATGAATTAAATAGAGCTTCTTACTACGTATATAAAATAGTTTTAAGAGACCACACATGCATTTATTATTCTAAATGTTGACTTTTACTTTGTATGTGGTCTGAACTCGCTAACTACCTGTATATTTTCTGACGCCAGTCGTGTTTTTTATCAGGGTTATTAGCTTAGCTAGGCTAGCAGCTGTGAACGGGTCATAAGTAAATTTGTTGAAGCCTCTTTTGTTTAACAACAATGATGTGTGTTCGCCTGTTAATGTATTCGTCTGTGTTGTAGCTGTTGTCGTCATGGTGGTGTTTCCAAGTTCACTGACGGAGGAAGAAGAGGCTCTGCAAAAGAAATATGCTAAACTCAAGAAAAAGGTAAATAAATAGATGCTTGCTGTTACATTTAGGACTTTATTATCAAAGGATCCCTATAAGCCAATTAATTAACCCTATTGCAATAATCCTCTTTTAGAACACTTTTTTATATTTTTTAACATTAACTTGTTTCCCTTTCTTTTTAGAAAAAGGCCCTGCTTGCCTTGAAGAAGCAGAATTCAACCAACCAGACAAACCAAAGTGGCTTAAAACGGAGTAAGTGCATTAGACTCCATTTAAAGTACTTCCGCATTTTTTTTTCGCAGCTAACTAAACTACACATTATGTTTACTCGCAACCAATTTGTTTATCTACCAATCACTTCAATTTATACAATGTCACTTTCTGTTCTTATGTGCAAATGTGTTCTGTTCACAATCATTTTATAATACAATTAAAACACAGTAAGTACACCTAACAAGAAATGTAAATGATAAATGCTCTGACTATAAATACTAACAAGTAACTGGTTGAACAGACAAACTATAAATACCTGCAGGCCCATTTGTATACTAATACCCACTCAATCAACCTTTTTTGCGATATTCAGGCTTCTAACTTTACACTTCATAACAGCTTTGTCAGACCAACCTGTTGTTGACACGGCAACGGCCACAGAACAAGCAAAGATGCTCATCAAGACGGGTGCCATCAGTGCCATCAAGTCAGAGAACAAGAACTCTGGGTTTAAACGCTCTCGAATGCTGGAAAAAAAGGTAAGCTGGTGTGGTTGTTTTGGCTGATGGTCACCTGTTTTCTTGCTTTGATTTGTTTGTTATGTTGTTTAATTGTTCCTCTCTATCTGCCACAGGACCCCGAGAAAGGCCAAAATCCGGCTTTCTTACCTTTCCAAAGGAGTGTCTCTACAGATGAGGAACCACTTGAGGTATTGTTTATTTAAAACATACAAATGTGACGATTCTGTCGCAAAAGGGGTCTTGTATTTTATGTTTGTAGGTTTCTTTCTCAAGTAGCATCACAACCTGAAATTTAGAATACTATTCAAGTTATTTTTTTCTCCTCAAAGTGAAATACCTTATGTACAATTTCAAACATAGGTGACTCTTGTAGTAGAGTTAAAAGAAACCCATATGCCATATAATGAACATACCTTTACACATTTGCAAGGTCTAAAAAGGAATAAAGCGTTTTGGGGGAAATAAATACAGCTTATTCTGATGTTATCATATTTGTTCTTCTCATAGGCGGGGAAAAGATCCAGGAGGCCACTGTATGAGAGGTAATGTCTCAAAAAGAACAATGAAAAAGCAAAACAACCTGTTTAATACACTGAAAGTGAACATCTATGGGTGTAACATCATTTCCCTGTGTGCCCCTTGCAGCTTTGTCAGCTCAAGAGACAGATTCCGGGAGGAGGAGGAAGGAGGCAGCGTGCCGCCCAGCCGTGAAATGGAAAGGGACGTAGACCGAGAGCGAGAGCGGGACCGGGAACGAGAGCTGGATAGAGAGCGGGACAGAGAAAGAGAGAGGGACAAAGACCGGGAGAGGGAGAGGGACAGAGGCCGGGACAGGGAAAGGGAGCGGGACAGAGAAAGAGAAAGGGACAGAAGCAGAGAAAGGGATCGAGACAATGACAGGGAACGTGACAGAGAAAGAGATGCACCGTTCAGACGTGAGTAACCAAGCCAAAAATAAACCATCCACAGAGAGCGCAGATATCTCTTCAATTATTACTATCCAACTCTAGTGGTAACTCCTCTCCCAAATTTTAACTCTCAGGTTCAGATTCATACCCAGAGCGGAGAGGGGTAAGAAAGGGGAACACGGTGTATGTTTATGGCTCTGGGCTCGGAGAGGACAGCCTGCGCTCTTCCTTCTCTCCACATGGAACCATCATTGACCTCTCCATGGACAACCCACGCAAGTATGTAACCATTAAAGAACTCTGTGTGCACAGTGGTTTCATCCCTACCTAATGTCATGGATGTGTTGCTGTCCCTTTTCACATAATGTAGTGGTAAGAGGTAGGTTCTTATCTCTAAGATTCTGTATCGAAAATTAGATTTCTTTAAATGTTTTTTTCTACTAATGGACTTAGATTTTTTACTTATGATGGAGTTACCCTACACAATCAAGGCGAAGTTGTGTTAAGCATTATTGTGAGGTTGTGTTAAAAATACACAAAATACCATGGATTTAATACATTTACATTTTTTGCATAACTTATTGTTTTCTAGAATTGTCTTTGAGAATTGAAAAGAACAAAAACTTTCAATGAAAAGTTTATTCGTGCAAGTTATGCATGAATACATGTTATCTTTCATCCTATGTTTGACATGTGTTTACATAATTTCATCAGTTGATATTTATTTATCTTTTAAGTATAAAAACTCCATTATCTTACACCCTTTATTCTGCTTTCATGCCATAATATTATACATTGAGTAGATCATGAAATAAAAAATACGTATGTACTGAATTAAGAACACATTTTGAATTGAACCTGCACAACCATAATGCACTATACTGTATAACTTATCTTGTAAAAGTTTTTTTCAACAACCAGTAGTGATTTTTTTTCTTCTCTTCCTCTTTCCAGTTGTGCATTTATCACTTTTGAGAAAATGGAGTCTGCAGACCAGGCCGTAGCTGAGGTTGGTGTTCTATCTTTAAAAACGTTTTAATAAAATGAAGCAGCAGTTTTCTATAACAATGTTGTGGGCCATGTGTGTCTTGTATAAGGGCAGAAGAGTACGTTTTTTGCAGTTTAAGCATGATATTTTTGAAATGGCTAAGTTAAGCAAAGAGCATCCATGCAAATGTAGTATACTGTTGAAGACGGCGGATACTGAAGGTTGCAAAACCAGGCTTGAGAAAGTGTGATGACGTCATCCCTAGTTGTAGGGATGCCCTGCTCATGTAGACTGTATACAAAGCAGGCGGCCACTCTAAACTCACCTCGCTGTATTTATCTCACAGTTGAATGGAGCCACAGTGGGAGATGTTCACGTCAAAGTGAGCATCGCCAGGAAGCAGCCTATGCTGGACGCTGCCACAGGCAAATCTGTCTGGGCTTCACTGGGTAAACACAGCACTCTTATAGTTTATTTATTTGTTCTGCACAGCCTTGGGTTAACCTTCAACAATGTCTTTTTTTCTTTTACAGCTGTGCAGAACAGCACTAAAGGCTCCTACAGGGACAAGAGGAATCAAGTCGTGTACAGTGAAGATTTCCTGTGATGAATTTTTTTTATTTTTACTTTTGATGTTATTTTAATGACAACCGCTAGTTTCTGTGTTGCAGCATAAATACAAAATAATCTGTTGTCTCTTTGATTGGAGCATTTTTCATGGTTGGTATGTAATGCTTTGTGGTTCATGAAACTAAAAACCAAACTCTGTTTGGATCTCAATAAAAAGATTTCAATGAGCCTTGTATCAACAAAACTCTGTCAGTGGGCAACAAAGACCAAATGTGAGATGTGTATGCGTAATAACGGAAGTATTGAAAATCTGAGACCAACTTTTCAACATCGGAAAGGGCAGGGAGTTAGGGAAATGCATGAGCAACTGTTTATTTAAAAATCCCAATTTTAAAAAGGTATATTCTGAATGTTTTTACACAACACCCCAACAGGTATATAAAAATGTACAGAAGAACAAGGCAGGTGTCCCTCTGCCAGCATCATATCTGGGTTGATGGACTAATGTGGTGCAATTGAATGATTTTTAGATGTAATTAGGAGGAATCTTTCCAACATTTTTATTCACACTGGTTTACATCATACCTTTGAACTGTGGTAGAAAATATTTAAACATGTTTGTTTTAATTTTCACAGTGCCATTTCATAAGGGCATCACAGTCAGTTTCCAGCTCTTGCTTAAGAAGGGGCAGTTCACCCCTAATTTGTTTGGTAAAAGAAGACAGTGCTTTCATAAAACTGCTCACAACAATGTCTGTAAATGATCTGGAGTCAAGATTTCTGAGATGAGAAGTTGCTGTTGAGACAAACTAATTTTTTTGGCTTGGAGCACCACAAACAGGAGGATACTGGAACATGACAGCCGTCCTGGTCCATCATTTATGAGAGAAAGAAGACATCTCTATGGCAAAATATTGTAAATTGATAAATGGCACTGCAGGTGAAAGGAAAAATTCGATTTGTTTTATTTTGGGGTTAACTGTTCTTTTGGTACTTGTGGGTTAAATGTTGCCACTTTTTAATAACGGGTAACTGGCTCCTCCACATTCACTTTTTCAATTCTCAAAATAACAAACATTAATCCTAGGGGTTAGGGTTATTTAGAGCAGTGATTCTCAAACTTCTTTCAATAATGTACCCAATTTGAAAAAAAACGTCAGCCAAGTACCCCCTGATCAGCGCAAAAACAATTTGTTAGGGGAAAAAAAGCCTATTTAAAGAGGTACAGTACAGCCTTGCACCATCAGTGTCTGATTTATTAGAACAACATTGTAACTGAGAAACACTAAAATGCTACATTTCAAATGTTTACAATCCATCAATAAATGTATGGCCAACCAATTTCAACATCATGCAATAACACTAAGATGACATTAGTTGCATTGAACTGATCTTTTTAATAAGTTGTACTTACAATTTAGTGAGAAAAATGGGCTTGAGCTTCACTAAGGACCTTTGCCATTCTGACAGGGAGGCCACTGCAGTTATTACACTTTGTGTTTTGAAATATGTGTAACTGTTAATATAAAACTCACACTGCTCAAACTTCGTTACTTTTCCTAAAATTGGTATATTTATCTATTTAATTTTTTCATTAACATAAAATAAATCTCACGTACCCCCTGCAGTACTCCAACGTACCCTTAGGGGTCCGCGTACCCCCATTGGAGAACCACTGATTTAGAGAGTAAAAAAAAGAAAAAAAAGTGGCGACAGGTAACCCACAAGTACCATTATTTTAATATCTGCATGGCGCCATGCCCCAACAGACTGACCTCCCGACTGGACTTGTTGCTCTGCAAAATGTAACTGCAGTAGGCAACAGAGTAGCTTTAGATGTCTAGAAACTTATTTTACATCTTTAATGACATTTGTTCAGTAACCAGGCACTCTTGCTCTTCCTCTCGTATTGTCGCAGCTCTCTCCCTCTCCTCTTGCTCATGTAGAGAGTTCTGCCCTGTGGTTTTTCCGTGTTGTTCCTTCAGGTGGCGTCTTAAGGCAGGCTTGTGAGCAAAGCGGGCGTGGCAGTACGCACAGCGGTGTGGCCGCTCGCCGCTGTGGAGGTTCATGTGGTCTATCAGTGTGGATTTTTGGGTGAAAGTCTTATAGCACAGGGGGCACTGGTGAGTTTTGCCGCCGCCTCGATGCACAGCCATGTGCCGGGTAAGGTTGGCAGAGTGGTGGAAGTGTTTGCCGCAGCAGGGGCAGGTGTAAAGCAGGTGGGTGGAGCGGGAATGGAAGGCTAGCGATTGGGCGGAGGGGAATGTGATGCCACAGTGCTCACAGATCACAGGCCCAGACACGCTGGAGGTGGATCCCACCACCGCGACAGACTCATCCCCTCCCTCGTTTGTCCCGACAGTCGTCAGCCCTGAACTTCCCTCACCAGCACCACAACTAGACTCCTCCAGGGCGCACTGGGTCAAACTGCTGCCTCCCATTGGTGAGACCCTTTCCCCCTTAGCGTCACCCATACTGTAGTCTAACTGTGGGAGTTCAACGGAGAGGAGGTTTCCTGTCTTTGGCCCTTCTTGGTTGTAGTCCATGTTCATAATACCTCCCATTCCTGCAGTTGCTAAGTACCACAAATCCTGGTTGTTTGGAAGTCTTTTCTCCTGTGTTGACACCCACCTTCTTTTCCTAAAACCCCTGCCTCTCCCTCTGCCCCGCCCAGTTTTAGGGTCAGAAAGCCTGCGTCTGAAAGCGCGGAGCCCCTCAGCTGAAAGTCCCTCAGTACAGAGATTATCTTCTGTTGGATTTAGCTCATATTCACCGCTTTCTCCAATCACCACACCGTCAGTCTCTGGGTAATAAGCATCCTGTGTTCCTTCAGAGGGAACTCCTCTCTCCTCCTCCCGGTCTCTGATCATCTGATCTTCTTCTGAGATGTACACTCTGAACACATCATAGTCCTCCTGTCGAACCTTTTCCTCCTCATCTGATGCGCCAACCTGTAACAACAAATTAAGACGGAATAAGGAAAGGTAGCGTTGTAAAAAAAAAAAGTGAAATGCACCACTCAAAATTCCCCAGACATGTTTAAAATTGCTTGCTCTGTCTAACCTACAGTCCAAAATTCAGATATATTCATTAACACTCAACACAATCGCAATTAGGTTTTCTTTCACACACAAACCTTAATGCATGGCTCGTCCAAAGTGGGACTGCCATGGTAGTGTTGACTGCTGTTCTCCTCCACTGAGTGCACTACAGGACTGTGTAGATGCAAAGGGGAGGGTTGGCTGGTGGGAGGGGATGCAACAGAATGAACGCTTCCGCTGAGAATTAAAGGTTGAGCCTGGCTCTTCTCTGAAGTCATCTAGAGGAACAGAAAAACACAGATTATGCCATTGCTAAAAACTAACAAAACTGAATTAGCTATGAAAATGCCTATAATGTGTAGAACTGAAAATCATTGCAACACACAAGAACTCAGACATAACATATGATTAGGATAAAATTGGTGGGAAAAACAGTTAAGTTTCTCACAATTTTTACAATGAACAACAGGAAAAGTAAAAGACACAGAAAGCCTTTTCCACAACTGTATGACATGTATCTACTTGTGTATCAACTTATTCTGGATAACTGACCTTTGCTAGACCGGGGTTTTTTAGCTGCACATACTTCTTCAGGGCTCCACGGCAGCGCTCCACAATATGCTCCATCTGTAGGTAACTGGCAGCAGTCAGGTAGTTGACAATCTCTTCTGGGTTAAACTGCAGGAGGCCAGTGTAACAAGACTGAAGCAGACCACACACCACTGTGGAGCTGTACAGCATCGACACCTGGGTAAACATTTGAAACAAATAACGTAAATAATCGCGTTGAGGAGAGACACAACGACAGAGTTTGTCAGTAGGACATTGTGAGTGTTGACGTTTGCCTACCTGGAGCTTTGGGGACGGGTTGAGGAGGAACTGGTCCCTCAGGAAAGGCGAGCAGGCAGCCAGGACAACTTTATGGCCCCTGAAGGTCTGGTTGTCGCTGGCCACAATAGTGATGTCACAGAATTGCTGGCGGCCCCTCAGTGTGTTCAGGTGCTTTAGGGTCGTGTCCCCGTGGCCAGGTAACCGGAAACACAGCATCTCCATCTTGTCTGGCGAGAATTGGGGAAGCATTCATGTAAGTAAACTGATACATCAGATAAGATAAGATAAGAAGGACCTTTATTAATCCCGTGGGGAAATTCAGTTGTACAAGCAGCAACAGGGTAAGCGTGAAAAACAGGACAGCACAGATTCACACAGAGTAAAATAACTGTCAGCATATATACATATTTGGTCATCTAAATTATGAAGTACGAAATGATTGTTGGTTTACAAAGATAACTCAACTTGTTGATTATATTTGACAAAAGTCAAACTAAACTAAGTAATTACTCAACAACAAACATAGACAAATATATACCGTTTTTTTTATTACCACTTTAAATGGTCTTTCAAGTGTTAACGTACTGCTATTTGTGAATGACATCACATGACCTGTATGAAATATAATCAACATAGTATCTAATAGTTATTGGTCATTTACCTCAGGTTAAACATTAACCAAAGTAACAATAGGGATGATTGTGTCGCTTGTAATGCTGTAATACCAAGTAAAGTTTCAATTTGGTAGCCTAAATTGTAGTATGGCATCTACTCTCACGTCACCTCATCCTCATGTTAATGGTAAATCGACAGCTTTAACGTGATAAAGCTAAGAGAAGTGGGCTTGAGACAAAGATCAGCATTGCATGTGTTAGAGGAATACTGGGGAGTATGATACAATGAGGCTGCCCTCCGTTAGAGGCTGAAATCCATCACCACATGATTGTTCTCATCCTTTTCTGCTGGCCTCAACGTTAGCTAGCGTTAGCATTAAGCTAGCTTGCTTGCATCTGGTAATAACTAAACCCAGGAACAAACAGACGCTCCACAGTTATCTATAAACGTTGTCCTTACTCACCTCGCCTTTTTCTTTTGTTAAATGTCTCCTGGGCTTTCTTAAAAACAAATCTGCATTTGTATAAATAGGGACACAGTTGATTCAGATGTTGTTACGCTGTTTTTCCTCATCCCTGTTGCCACTAGCTAACAGTACTACCTCGATTTCTGTTTACTTTTTGGCCTTTTTTTTTTTTTTGGAGGAAGCGCCTCTTGAAACCGCTGATCTCTGGTTAGTAAACTGACCTGGAATCGGATTCAGTGGAACGCCTTCTCCTTGCAGTAGGCTTCATCAGAGAACGCTCACTGACTTTAGATCAGTTGTTTGAAAAATCAGCGACCAAGGGGCGTGGCTCTGGGCGGTGACGCGGTACGTCCTTTTACGTGTATGCGTTGCATCGCGAAACATGTCGGCATCTGAGACAACAACGAAGGTAGCGAAGCCTTTCTGCAACTCAAAACTGCATGCTAACGACACTAACATTTGTTTCACAACTTGTAAACACATTAGCATACATAGCAAAAGCACGCCACCAGAGTAGCAATCTGTCATGATGCAAAATGTCTTTCCTTGTCGATGTATAGGAGCTCTTTGTTGAAAGCTGTGCTACAGTGCTAGCTTCGTTAGCCTGTAACATGTTTTGTGTTAAATTGCTCTTATGTTGTTAATGTTTTGGTTATCTCGTCGGTTCCTCTGTCTCTATTCCTTGCATTTTCATAATTTTGCGTTAGTCTTGTTATGTTTTGCGGTTTCTGTATAGTATCTTGCTTCTTGTATGATGTATGTTCAGTTTTCAAAGCTAATGTTAAGACCCACAGTCTACGCACAAGACACATTGTCATGTTTACATATTTGGATTTCGAGGGAGGATTTTAT